ATGGGAATCTATTATTTGTATAAGAATAACAAGCTTAAACTTATAAGCAAATTTAATACTTGTATGATATTTATATGTTAATACTTTTATGGAAATCGCTTATTTGTATGAGTTTTTTAAGTTAGCATTTATATAGGAATCTATTATATATATGAACTTAATAAGTTAATACTTGTTTAAAAATTTAATGCTTGTATGAGATCTATAAGTTAGTACTTGTATGCAAATCTATTATTTAAATGAGTTTGTTAAGTTAGTACTTGTATGGAAATCTATTATTTGTATGAGTTGAGTTAGTTAATACTTGTATGAAAACTTAATACTTGTATGAGCTTAATACTTTAGTTCTTGTATTGAAGTCTATTATTTCTATTTTCTTAATAAGCTAGTACATAAATGGAACCCTATTATTTTTATGAGTTTATTAAGATACCACTTGTATTAAAATCGTATATTTGTATGAGTTGAATAATTTAATGCTTGTATGAGCTGAAGCAGTTTAAACTTGTATCTAAACATATTATTTGTAGTTGTTTAATAAGTTCGTTCTTGTTTGGAAATTTATTATTACAATGAGTTTTTTAAGTTGGAACGTGTATAGATTTCGTGTATTTGTGTGAGTTTAAAAAGTTAATACTTGAGTGAAAATTAAATATCTATATAAGATTAGTAAGTTTGTACTTGTATGGAAATCTTTTATTTGTATGAGTTTAACAAGTTAATATTTACATCAAAATTTAATACTTGTATGAGATTAATAAGTTAGTACTTGTATGGGAATTTATTATTTGTATGAGATTAGCAAGTTAAAACTTATAGGAAAGTTTAATACCTGTTTGATATTTATATAATAATACTTGTATGGAATTCAATTATAAGTATGAGTTTTTTAAGTTAGTACTTAAATAGAAATCTATTATTTATATCAGTTTAATAAGTTAATACTTGTTTAAAAATTTAATGCATGTATGTGGTATATAGGTTAGTACTTAATACTTACATGAAAATTTAATAATTGTAAGAGATTAATAAGTTAAAATTTGTATGGAAATCTATTATTTGTATCTGCTTCTTTAGTTAGTACTTGTATGAAAATTTAATACTCGTATGAGATTAATAAGTTAGTACTTGTATGGAGAGCTATTATAAGTACTAGTTTGTTAATTTAGTATTTTTATATATATATATTTTTGTAGTAGTTGAAAAAGTTAGTACTTGTATGGAAATATATTATTTGTAAGAGTTAAGAAAGTTAACATATGTATGGAAAGCTATTATTTGTATGAGTATAATAAGCTAAATCTTTTTTAATAATTTAATATTTGTGTGAGCTTAATTATTTTCGGTTTGGTTTTTTTACATCCGTTGGCGAACTGGTTCAACGGAAGTACAAAGTGCAGCCAATTAATATTTTACAAAAAAAAAAATTCGATTCCCGTGTGACGGATACGTTCCGAGAAATAATCACTTCTTTAAAATCTATTTCGACTAAAAATCTTTCATAAGGACTCATGCTAATGATTTTCTCCGCGCCTGTGATGCACTGTTTGAGTTTGAAGAGTTGTACAACAACATTTCAAGTGCAAATCACTCAGTTTTTTCGCTGGAAATACAAAAGGAAGAGCTGTAGGCGTTGTGGATGAAAGTGAAGGAGTCATTCGATGTATATTCGCGGAATTTATCGGAAGACGAAGCGGGTAGCATAGTCATGAACTCAGCGAAGACCAGGTATCAGGATTGCTATTCAGCATACCTGACATGAGCAGCACTGATGGGCGAGACCATGCACAACCTGACTTTTCTTGAACAAAGCTCATCAACGGTTAACCCTGCAGCGCGGGAACCTGAACCGGTTCTACGCTCTAGTATTAATCTCCCTCCATGTTACACTGAAACTTTTTATGGTGATTATATGGCATGGCCAATGTTCCTCGAGAAATTATACCATCTAGACCATAAGACTCGTGGGGAAGCAAAGGACATCGTGAAGAAATCCCCATTGACGAATGATGGTTTCATAACCGCGTGGCAGAACTTGTCGGAGCGATATGAAAACAAAAGTGTGATGGTAAACAGTCAGTTGAAAACGTTGTTCAACTTACCCACTGTGACTGTCGAACGCGGCGCGGAAATAAAGAGTTTGCAACGAGCAGTAAACAATTGTATCTCAGTGTTGCAGATGTATGGAATCGAGGTAAGCAACTGGGATGCAATTTTTGTCTTTTTAGTTTCCAGTAGGTTGCCGGACACCACATTAGCTCTATGGGAGCAAGGAATCGTGCAGAAGGCCGAGACTCCGAGGTGGGAGGAACTGGATAGTTTTTTGACAAATAGGTTTCAGACGCTAGAAACGGTTTCGGACATTTAAAGTACAAGAGTGTCAAGGACAGTGCAAAGTCGCGCTCCAGCACCAGCATTTGGGAAAAGGGTATCAACTCATTATACTCAGTTTTCGCAACCTGCCTGCAGGCTTTGCCCACAGCAAATCCATGCGTTAAAAGTATGTCCAAAAGTTTAGAATTGAAGAAGCAAGAAGCCTGATTCTCCCCCAGCTGACAGGAAACCTCCCCCAGTTTTCAGTAGACCAAGTAGATTTTGGCCTACTACCCCCAATTCACTTGGCCGATGCCAACTTTAATAAAAGTCAGCAGGTTGACTTGGTAATCGGTGCGGACTTGTACCCGCAAATAATGATGGGAAACGTTAAGACAAACGCTTTACGCTCTCTTCTGGCACAGGAGACAGTCTTCGGTTGGATCTTAACAGGTCCAACCCTTCATCCCCCCAATATGATCCCACGAGCATATGTCTCTATGTACACCGAAATTTCGAGCTCTGAGCTCACACGGTTTTGGGAGCTAGAACAAGTCCCAAGTAAAAAACAGATCACTCTTGAGGAAACATTCTGCGAGCAGCAGTATGTAAATACGACTATCAGAACTGAAAATGGGAAATATATGGTAACTCTTCCGTTTCGACAGGAATTTCCAGCAGACATAAATCTTGGATATTCACGGACCGGTGCATTGCAGCAATTTTTAAGAAAGGAAGCGGCTATGGTACGAAAGCCGGAGCTTAAGGTAGAATACCATCGGGTACTCCGCGTATATATAACTCTCGGTCATAGGAAGCCAGCAGACGGCAGCCTTGGAAATAAAGTACCAGGGTCGAATTATTTGCCCCATCATGCAGTAATAAAACCCGACAGCACTACTACAAAGGTTCGAGGAGTTTTGAATGCATTTAACCCAACATCTAATGGGGTAATTTTAAACGGTGTACTACATCCTGGTCCAGTTCTCCAAAGCGATCTCATTGCGTTGCTTCTTAAATGGAGATTTTTCAAGCATGTATTCAACGCAGATATTGAGAAGATGTATCGGCAAGTCTTACTACATCCAAATGACGCTCGGTTTCATAGGATACTTTTTTTGGGAATCATTCGAAGAGGAGATTGTGGACTATGAACTCCAAACTGTGACTTTCGCAGCTAATTGTGCCCTATACCTAGCGATAAGGACGTTATTACAGCTGGCAGAGGACATCAACCTAAAATACCCTTTAGCATCTAGGGTTTTGAAGCAACATATGTATGTTGATGACGTCCTCGCAGGCGCACATGATTACGAGATAGCTATTCGCACACGAAATGAACTGGTCAAGGCACTCAATGGTGCAGGATTTCTCTTACGAAAGTGGACCTCAAACTCCAAGGATATTTTAGTCGACATACCAAAGGAGCAACTTCTCAAGGAAGATCTCTTGGAGATTTACGACGTACGCGAGGCAAGGATGTTAGGCATCAGATGGAACGCTTCACAAGACAGGTTTCATTTCAACGTCCAGGAGATGCACGTTAAACCAGGCTACACCAAGAGAGAGGTATTATCGTGTGTAGCAAAACTCTTCGATCCCGCTGGTTGGTTAGGACCAATCGTCAGCAAAAATCCTAATGCAGGATATTTGGCTGACTAAGGTAGACTGGGATGACAACATATCAAAAAGCATTTACGTGAGATGGGAGAATTTTCTAAAAAACTATGGTCACATTTCTAAAATCATAATTCCAAGGTGGGTTAGGTATACCCCATGGAGTGAAATTGAATTTCATGGAGTTTGTGATGCCTCCGAGAAGGCGTGTGCTGTGGCATTATATGTAAGACTCCGGGAACGAAATTCAAGTATTGCCCTAAACGTAAATCTGCTGGTAAGCAAGACAAAAGCAGCGCCAGTAAAAACAATTTCTCTACCACGGTTAGAGTTATGTGGGGCACTACTCCTGGCAGAATTAATTAACGCTTTACTTCCACAGTTCGATGTTGTTTGACCAGTGGTCTACAAATGGACAGACTCCACTATTGTGCTCCCATGGCTGCAGAAACCCTCTTGCTGTTGGACTACCTTCGTGGCCAATAGAGTCTCGAAGATCGAGGAACTCGTTAGAAAGACTGGTTGGAATCAAGTGGATTCAAAGGAAAATCCAGCAGATCTTGGTAGCCGCGGCGTATACCCCAAGAACTTGCGGAGAGCACTCTGTGGTGGCACGATCCCTGCTAGTTAAAGAAGCAACCGTCTGCGTGGCCTCAGAGGCAGAGTGAGCCACTGCACACAGAGCTAGAGCAGAAAGGCGTCAGGACTCACGCAGCACGAATCATAGACAGAGAAGACATCTTGGAACGGTTCTCCGACTTTTCACGCGCGTTGAGGGTAGTTGCGCGAGTTTTTCAATTCTATCGGAAAATACATCCGGTATTTAAATTATGAAATCAGCACGAATCTGCGGAAATTACAGCAGATGAAATTCGAGATGTAAAAACGCGATTAATTCTATTGACCCAAAAGCGTTTTCTTGCGGATGAATACGATGCACCAGCGTCAGCAAACTCAGTGAGCGCTAAGAGCTCCATTCGCACTCTCAATCCATTTCTTGATAAGAACGGAATCATGAGAGTAGGCGGTCGACTAGCGCTAGCGTCGCTATCGTACAACGAATGATACCCGACAATCTTACCGTATGGTTTCCAATTTTTTCGACTTCTAGTCAAATTCTCTCACCTGATTTCATTACATGGCTTTAAATCAGCTCATACTGAGGCTCATGAGGTCAGGTAGTACGGTTAAAGGATTTAATAAAAATGGTTATTTATAATTGTAAAGTTTGTCTCATTCATAGGAAAAGGCAACGAGAACAATTAATGGCTGCGCTTCCACCGGAAAGGACGGAGTTATCCAGACCGTTTACTAATACTGGCGTGGATTTCACGGGCCCGTTTGACATTAAAAACTACACAGGCCGAGCATGTCTAATAACGAAAGGATACGTCTGCGTATTTGTGTGTTTCGCTACAAAGGCGATTCATCCGGAGGCGACGAGCGACTTATCGACGTCCACTTTTCTGGCTGCGTTCGCGAGATTTGTAGCAAGACGTGGTTGTCCGCTTCATGAGGAAACCAACTGGCACTTCATACCTCCAGGGGCTCCTCACGTGGGAGGATTATGGGAGGCAGGAGTGAAGAGCTTCAAAACGCACTTTCGAAGAGTAGCAAATGCAATGCGCTTTACAATGGAGGAATTCTCGACGTTACTGGCCAAAATCGAAGCCTGTCTCAACTCTCGTCCAATTAGTCCACTCTCCGATAATCCTGAGTCAATTGAACCTCTAACCCATTTTCTAATTGGAAGTCCGCTGCTTGCGATCGCTGAGCCCGAAATCAGCGGAAACCCGATGACAATCATCAACGGATGGCAGAAACTAAAGTGGCAGAGGGTAAAGTGGCAGTTTCCTCACCGAAGGTTGACGATTTCGTAGTTGTCAAAGAGGATAATCTACCCCCGAACGAGTGGCGACTTGGTAGAGTGGTTAGGGTTTTCTTAGGTCACGATAACAGAGTTAGAGTGGTAGATCTACTTACTGTCAGAAGAGGCACCCCAAGCTTTGCCAGATAACTCCAGCGATGATGAGGTTCTGGAGATCGACGCCAGTGACGATGAAGTGCTGGAACAACCTCCCAATGAACGGGCCAGCACACCAAACCCCCCGTTACTCAGACCGCCTCTGTCGAGTGTACGGTCCGTGGTTCAGCGGCCACACCCACCAGCGGAAGATAGAAGTGTCTCATCAAGCAGGCGTAATAACAAACCACAAAGGCGGCCTCAGGCGGTGAGAGACGCCCGCGAGCGAATCAAAGGATCCGCTCGGAGTGCATTGGGCGTGTCTGTCCTCACGCCAACTGTGCTGGTGAGAGTGGTGGCAAGCGGCAGAGGACACCCGGTCCGTGCCCTGATCGACCCAGGGCAATCGAGATCGTCAATATCAAGAGCTCTGGCGAGACGACTACAACTGCTGCCACGCGAATATGCAGAAAACATAAACATGACATTGAAAAGTTGGCGGGATCGGATTAGTCTGACCGCCAAGGTAGTGACAAGTCCCGTGAAGACTACGCCGGCACACAACAATGAATTGTAAAGTTTTAAAAAATTGTAAGATTATTTTCTGCAGTGTTGCTGCAAGGCGGGCGGCATGTTTATGCGTGCAACCCTGGGCAGCCGCCATAACATTCACCAACAGATGGCGCTGCTATTTTTCGTTAATACATGACTCTTCAAAGTTATGGGAAGAGTCCTGTTAGCTTCAATTCCGATCTCCACCCTCTGTGAAATTCTTTAAAAGACCAGTTCCACCGGTCTTCCGCCTCTTTTTTCTACAACAGCCACAGCAGCAACATCTTTTGGTGAGTGTTTCGTTTATGTTATATTTTTCTATATATATATATTTAAATTTTTCCAAATAATTCAATAAAATTTATTGAATTATTTAATATAATTGACTTTTATTTGGAGAAAGCTTAGGGATTTATTACAGCTTCCTGAAGGACCGGCACCTCCCCAGAGCCCCGTTGTCGGAATTCATGAAGAATTCCGACCTCAACTAACCCTCGAGATGAAACAACTTGTATGAAATTAATAAGTTAATACTTGTTTGAGACTAATAAGTTAAAACTTGTATGAAAATTAAATACTTGTTTAAGATAAATAAGTAATAACTTGTATGGAAATCTATTATTTAAAATAGCTTAATAAATTAATACTTGAATGGGATTAATATATTAGCATTTGTATGGAAATCTATAAGTTGTAGTAGCAAAATAAGTTAGAACTTGTTTGAAAATCTAATATTTGTATGAGTTTGCTAGTTAGTAATTGTGCGAATCTATTATTTGAATGAAATTGTTAAGATAATACGTGTAAGGAAATCTTGCATTTGTATCACCTTAATAAGTTAAAACTTGTATGAAAATCTATTATTTGTATGATTTGAATAGGCTAATACTTGTATTGCTTTAATAAGTAAGTATTTGTATGGAAATCTATTATTAGTATGAGTTTGTTAAGTTAGTGCTTGTATAGAAATCTGGTAAATTTATGAGTTTAATAAGTTAATACTTGTATGAAAAACTAATACTTATATGAGATTATAAAGTTAACACTTGTATGGTAATCTATTATTTGTAGTAGCTTAATAATATAGAACTTTTATGAAAATCTACTATTTGTATGAGTTTAGTAAGTTAATACTTGTACGAAAACTTAATACTTGTATGAGCTTAACATTTTAGTTCTTGAATGGAAATCTATTATTTCTATGTGCTTAATAAGTTAGTACATGTATAAAACCCTATTATTTTTATGAGTTTATTATGATACAACTTTTATGGAAATATATTATTTGTATGAGTTTGTTAAGATACCATTTGTATGGAAATCTATTATTTGTATGAGCTGAATAAGTTAATACTTGTATGACCTGAATTAGGTAATACTTGTATGAAAATCTATTATTTTTAGTTGTTTAATAAGTTCGTACTTGCATGGAAATATACCAAGAGTAGCACAAGTTATTTGTATGAGTTTAATAAAGTAATACTTGTATGAAAAATTAATACTTGTTTGAGATTAATAAGTTAGCACTTGTTTGGTTAATTTTTGGATAACCTTGGTGATAGATTTATAACAGGAGGAGACTATAATGCAAAGCATGTATTCTGGGGATCCCGTCTAATAAACCCCAAAGGCCGTCAGCTGTACAATACCTTTATTAACGAACGTAATAATATGGACTGGGTTTCCCCATGTCAGCCAACATACTGGCCTACCGATCGGAAGAAAATACCTGACTTAATAGACTTTGCTGTCTCAAGAAAAATCGGCAGGCAACTTGTATCAGCTATGACAGTTGCTGAGTAGTCTTCAGACCACTCACCAGTTCTAATAAATTTTACGAGCGCCCGAAAATAGTGGCACAAGAATCAAGACTAACATACAGAGAAACGAACTGGCTAAAATACAAAAAATATACTAGTAGTCGTATTGATATCAATCCAATATAGAATTATGAAAACGATATTGATGACTACATTAATGAGCTTATTAATGTCCTTGTTTCTGCGGCAACCATAGCAACTCCAAAAAGTAAAAAGCCTAGTACGTGCCCAAAAGTTTTAACAAATACAGAAATAGAAGAACTAGTTAAGAATAAGGGCCGTTTGCGGAGAGAATGGTAAGAATATCGCTCTCCAGCAGCAAAGTTTCGGTTGAAAGCAGCAGAGAGGAAGCTGAAAAGTGCACTGAAACAAGCAGAAGATCACAATGCCAAGGCATACATAGAAAAACTAGCGCCGAATTCTGCCAAAAAATACTCACAGCACAAAAGAAATTTAAGCCTCCAATAGAAATTAATATGCCAATCAGGGACCCAAATGGTAACTGGACACGAAGTAACGAAGAAAAGGCAATTTGTTTTGCAAGGTATTTAAGTAATGTATTCCAACCAAATGGCGCAACTAATAATTTTATTGTGCCGGAATTTGTTATTAACGGTCAGGAAAATCACGTGGCAATTAAAATATCTAGCGTAGAAGTGGTAAATGCGATACAGAAACTGAATCCAAGGAAATCTCGAGGCCACGACCTCGTTACATCTAAAATGCTAATAGAGCTACCAAGAGTAGCACAAGCATTGCTCTCTTAACTCTTTAATGCTATTCTAAAATTAAATTACTTTCCAAACGCGTGGAAAAAGACACAGATATTAATGATAGCCAAACCAGGCAAATACCACACACAGGCGGCGTCTTACAAGCCTACTACCCAGTCTTTCCAAATTATTTAAAAAGCTTCTGCTATCAAAAATATCTCCTTTTCGCCACCGTAACAATGTGATACCAGATCACCAATACGGCTTTCGTGAAAAGCATAGTACTATCGAACAAGTTAACCGAATAACTAACGAAATCAGAAAGGCATTCGAGCTCAAGGAGTACTGTTGTGCAATCTTTCTTGATGTAGCACAGGCGTTCGACAAAGTCTTGCATAGAGGTGTACTGTACAAAATACATAAACCTCTCTGTTCAATTTTATATGATACTTAAGTCATATCTGACTAACAGACAATTTACCATTAAGCAATCTGAATTTATCAGTGAGGAGTATCCGGTAAAAGCAGGTGTTCCGCAGGGCAGCGTCCTCGGGCCCATTTTATATTTCATATACATGCAGACATCCCCTTAGACCGGAAAGTACAGACATCTACCTTTGCGGATGACACAGCTATTTTATGCCAGGATAAATGCCCTAAAAGAGCGGCAAAAACGATAAGTGATCATTTACTCCTCATCGAAGAATGGCTAAAAAACTGGAGAATTAAAGTTAATGAACAAAAGTGTAAGCACGTCACATTTACTTTGAGACCGCAATCAAGTCCTGCAATTCGCTTAAATGGTATAAACATTCCCCAAGTAAATGATGTTACACATCTCGGTATACTCTTAGATAGACGTCTCACTTGGAAAAGACAAATAGAGGCAAAAATACTACACATGAAATTAAAAGCAGCTAGCTTAAATTGGCTTTTAAATAAAAACTCCGGTCTAAAACTAGACTACAAAGTCCTTATTTACAACGCAGTATTAAAACCAATTTGGATATATGGTATTCAACTGTGGGGTACGACCAGTGCAACTAATATCGATAAAATACAGAGGCTCCAGTCTAAAATTTTAAGAGCACTAACGGACGTACCATGGTACGTTCGTAACGTTAACATTCATCAAGACCTTGGTATTTTACAGGTTAAGCCTGAAATTGAAAGAAGCAAGACGAAGTACTTCGCAAAGCTAAGAAATCATCCAAGTCCGCTGGCTAATGCTTTATGCAACCCATCGCGAAGTTCCCGCCTGCAACGAAGAGATGTTCCCGCCTTCTAAGGAGAGCGGCGTAGTTTGAAAAGGGCTCAGAGTTAAATAACTCGAGCTATCATGTGTGTAATTTAGTTTTTAAGATTTGTACACTTACTGTTAGGCTTATATTACAACAGAACCAGTAAATAAATGAATAATGGTAATCTATTGTTTGTATGAGTTTGTTAAGATAATACCTGTATTGTTTAAGCGTGTACTTAAACCACCATAAATAAAAAATAAATGTAACTGCCGTGCGCGTGGAATTATCTGTCTTTTCCCACTATTTCTTTTGGCCCCATCACGTGCCAATTCCAATATCCTTTTTAGCCAAATTTCCTTAGCCGATCGACCGCTTAGCGGCGGCCGTTCGAGCTAACGAAAACTCACACTAAAATCAACAGTCCTCGCTCGCGCACGGCAGCTTTGAACCGCGGCCTGATTATATTTTGTAAAGTAATAATTTGCCACAAATAGTTTAGTTAAAATACGTTGTGAAATTGATTTTTTTTAAAATTTGTGAGCTAATTAAGTAAAAAAAGTGCTTTTTATTTAAATTTTGGGCCCGCTCGACAGCCGGCATCCCCTTGCTTCCCCACAAGTCCTTATCGACTTGTTCATTGGTTCTTCGAGGCTAAAAATGAGCCAAACTACGGTACACAGCCACTGCTGTTAAAAACAAAGTCTTTTAAAAAAACAAAAAAAGAAAGAATTTAAAGTTTAAAAAGAAAAAAAACCTATGAACCCTCCCGTACGATCGGGAAACTTAAAAATAAAATAAAAAATAAAAAATAGTGGTGCAAAACAATGAAAAAAAGTGGTGCAAAATAAAGCAAAACATATAACCATATTTGAAAAAAAAAAATTAATAAATAAAATATAAAAATAACTAAAAAAAGCTGGTTGTGCAAACAAAAAATGTGAAAGAAAAAAAAACTATATAATCATATACAATACATATACACATATACATATATTCAAATAAAAAAAGGAAGAATATTAAAAAAAGTATACATACGTTTGTAAGTATCAACAAAAGTGCGAAAAAGTGAACAATAAATTGTGAAAAGGACACATGAAACGAAGATACCACGACACAGGAA